AGAATGGAAGTCGGGGATTTTATGTACTTCTCTGTGTATGGGGCTGTGATCCTAATACCTTGCTAAAGGCTAATAAGCGAATAGAAAAGATGCTTCTCACTTCCGTTATTTGAGTCTAGACTACTGTCTAAAATTTGTTAGGTAAAGTGGAGATGTTTGCTGGGAATTTTGCCCACTTACATCTGCAATTCTCAGCTGCCTTTAACAGTCAAAATAGTCATTTTAACTTCTTAATTTGCAACAAGAAAAAAGGAAAAAAACCACACAAAGCTGTTATGAAAGGGAAGAGAAAAACTTCAAGCAAATTAAGCCTGAAAAGCACTTAAAAAAAATTGTATCTAGACTTTGTCCTCAGAATAAACGTTAGGCCAAAGCTTAATGTAACATTAGATGAAGGACAGAATATTACCCTGAGAGTAATAATTGGGTGTGACCATAAAATTTGTGTGCTAAAAGAACTAAATTGAGGAAACTCTGTTCATATAGTTCTTTATATGATGTAATGATATTTTTTGATATTTTTAACTGCAGCCGTCTCTAAACTTCACTTATATTTCACTTTACCTTCATTTTAATAAGAAAATATTTAAAAAGGAAGAGGAGAAAAATGGAAAGCACTTTACTCTGAATTCCAGAAAGGAACCATTAACTCTTAATTTTTAAAGCAGGTGATGTATCTTTCTAAAAAGTAAGTATTTTTGATAAAAGCAAGAGGATGAATTTTGACCAATGTGATGTCAACTTAAATAGATGAAAGCTGTTAAAATGAAGAATTTAAAAGGTCCAATTTCTAAGCCTTATTGCTCTTACATTAAAACTTGTCTCTAATGTAGTCCCTCAGTAGCTTTGAAAAAACAAGTTATCTTTTCAATTTCAGACTACTGTTACCCGGTTTATGTCTCCTCAGGGTAGAGTAAATCAGAAATACCCTGTTTAGCTAGGAGGAAAAGAACATGCTCTCCAGTGGGTGCTTTACACAGACACACGTTTGTTACTGGAAATATTTATCTCTCTGGAAGCAAATGGGCAGGAACATCCTAGAGATAAGCTTCAGCAGGGAGGCTAAGTGGTGTAAGTATTTTGAGGTAGAAAGTAATGTCTAGATAACAATTCTCGAATGTTCATCTTACAGTACTGAATCTCTTGGTAGTACTTCACCTTATTCTTTCACCTTTGCAATTAGTGATGAAAAACTACACAGCAATGTCACTTACTAAAGTAACACCCTGGTTAGTGCTGCCATATGTCAATTTTAAGAAACTAAGTTGAGAAATAAGAGGTTACGGATTCTTATTGGCTAAGGACTAACTACACAATAAGTATTGTTAAGCATTAACTTTAGGGTAGATATAAGTTTAGGGGGGGGAGAAGTGATGTTTCCTAGGTCAGATGTTTATGCCAGTGACCTAGAACCTAGCTTCTGACTATCCAAGTTTGTTGTGTTTTTTTTTTTGTTTTGTTTTTTCAAAACTACTACTACTCCTTTAAATATAGTTTTCTTCACAATACAACACACTCTTGTCTCCTCAACAGTCAAGCTTTCTGAGATGCTCGAGTCTTGATGCATGCCCTATATAGACAAGCAACCTTTCCAGGTATGCAGTCTCACTCTATAGCTATCAGTTAAATTTGCCTTCTACTTGATTTTAAGACTGCATACTGAAAGGGCTTAGGAAAAAAAAAAAACAGTACTTTGCTTGTACTCAAATGTTCTAGTGCTGTATTATTCAGTAGCCATTTAAGTTTTTGTCCAGACTGAAGAAGTTTTAATTGCAAAATTAACATAAATGACTAGTAGAACTAACTTACTATATCAGCTTTCACAATCAAATTGCTTTTGCTCAAAGTCTAATTAAAAGCCAAAGCTTAAAGTGAAGCTCAAACCTTTTGCAACACAAACGTGGATTAAAGGTTTCAAACTGAAAAGCAATTCAGTAACATGGGACAGAATTTGTCTTGGAAGATATGTGCTTTAATACCTGCCCTC